ATCTTGAGCTTGTATTCTGATTGGTTGTCATAATCACATGGGGCCATGCAGGGGCAACTCTCTAGACTGTGTTTTGAATCCAGGTTTGGTTGAGTTCTCAGATGCCATGTGGCGAGTTGGGTAAAGTGCCAATATTATCATGCTTTAATCCCATCCCCCCCCTGGAGCTGAAGTGGAGAAGTCTTTATTATGTAAAGTGGACTAGCTTGGCCTTCTTAATGGCCCATTGACAAAGTGGGGATGGGCAGGAAGCTACAGGCAGCTATTCTGTCTTTTAAAACACGTTTCTTTCTTTTCACATCCAGAGAAATATTCTGCCTTTTCAATATTTCCTAGGATGTTTCATTTTTCTGGGAGAGGGCTGGGTGATAACTTCCTACAGTACTTTAGAAAAAGTAGTAAAATCAGGAAGGTAACATCAATTAAGAACAATGTACGGGGCTGTGGTCCTTTGTTAGGGAATTCATTATATTTTACTTAAAGAGATTTATGGCTGTAGCGATACATATAGGATTGCGTTGTCTGGGGAGTTCTGGGAGTTGACATCCACAAGTCTTCAAGTTGCCAAGGTAGAACAAGGCAAGAGATCTTGTCATGCCTCCCAACCCATTGGTCCTCTCCTGCAGATCTTACCAACCAGAAACGTTCCTAATAAGAGAGGCGGCTGGTATATGCAGGAGCTCATGCCGGTTGGACAACTTTTGAATTAAAGGAGTATTATTATTTATTTATTATTTATTTGTCTTGTATGCCGCCCACTCCCGGAGTAAGTGACAGTAGGGTTATACATGAAGTCCTTGACTTAACGACCACAATTGAGCCTCACATTTCTGTCGCTAAGCGAGAGACACTTGTTAAGTGAGTTTCGCCCCATTTTTACAACCTTTCTTGCCACAATTGTTAAGTGAATCAATGCATTAGTGAATCAGTGCTAGTCACACAATCGTTAAGTAAATTTGGCTTTTCCGTTGACTTTGCTTGCAAAGTCGTGACAGGAGATCACATGACCCCGAGACAATTGCAACCATCGTAAATAAATACATTCCAGTTGCCAAGCATCCAAATTTTTATCTTGTGAGCACGAGGGCGGCCGCAATGGTCATAAATGTGAAAAATGGTCATAAGACACTTTTGTCAGTATTATAACTTCGAGTGGTCACTAAAACAAAAGGTTTTAAGTCGTGGACGATCTGTATGTCAGTTATGTCATGCAAGTAGGTAGAAACAATATTTTCATACCTTTAGGAATTTTGCCTTTTGTTTTTCTAGAAATGGGGACGGGAAATCATGCCTCAAGATTTGATGATTCATTATTAAATCTTGGTGGATCCCCCTAATGAATTCCACTAAAATTCCACTAAAAAGAGGTTTCAGGGTCTCCTAAGAAGAATATGTCTCAGGTTTTATTTTTTTTTCTACATCTGTTTTAGGATGTGTAACTAAGGGGGAAAAAATAACAGAAGGTAGATTTGCTCGTCAGTTACCAGTTTTATTTTATCCCTAAAATTATGTGAAAATATTCTTCACCCTCACTTGCAAACCATCAGCAAACATCATCCTGCCTGCCATTGGCTCATTTTTCCCATAATATTTATTTTCAAAGTTCTGGGAATACACTTGCAATACACTTGATTTATGATAATCGGAACTGGAGGAAATTGGAATTTAATCATTTAAATTTAACAAAAAGAATAAGTTAATAAAAACAAAGAGGGATCGATTTCTTGCTTTTGGTGTATTGAAGTATCATTTCCTCCTCCCACCTCCCGACTTTCTTTTGAAAGTTTTTGGATGGCAAAGAGATAACGCGGTCAGAAAGGATTCAGGCTTCCCAGAACTATCCTGAGCTGGAAAGGAAAATCCACGGGCAGGAGCAAACCTATCTCCTGAAAAGAGAAGAAGAGAAAAAAGAGGCAGAAAGACGGATGCAAGAAAAGCAGAAGGAAAGGAAGGAGAAGAAGAAGAAAGGACAGCATCTGGGGTTTGATCAACCACCACGCACAGATATGAAGACACCCACGTAGGTGCCTCTTTAATTCCTTTGGGGCCGAGAAAACGGAATATATACGGATAGGATTTTATTTATTCAGTTTTCAGTGATTTAATTTGTAAAGCCAGTCCTCTCACCAAATGACTCTGAGCGGTGTACAAAATTAAAAATAAATAGGAAAATTGTAAATCACCCATCAGAAACCACGAAATTAACCATGAAATAGATCCCTGCACACACTCAGGATGCCAAATCCGAGCACTGAATCTGGTATTGAAGGACTTAGAAAAAGTCAACAAGGTTGGTGCCATCTTGATCTCCAGAGAGAAAATAGTGGACGCTGTGGCAGAACAGACACAACTCCTAGGTGCTTCCCAACCGGCATTCCCTAGTTGATGGGACCCAAACTGTAGCCATTCTGTCCGAACAGATTGGGCAGGAATTCAGATCAGAAGAGTTTGTTGTATAAATGCTAGTGTATCCTCTGTTCTCCCATGAAAATCAGATCTCAATGTAATGGAATGTAAGAGAAATTAGTCCCTGGCTAATGGAAATCCAGAGCTTCTAGATCAGGGCTGTCAAACTCGTTTTCATTGAGAGCCACATCCGGGTTGGGTTTGGAATGGGCGTGGCCAGGGTGGGCATTGCCAGCTCGACATCATTTGTGTCTTGAGCATCAGTGGTGGCACGAGTACTCGGCAAGTGAAAACGGGCTCCAAGCTCCGTTTTCGGCTGCGACCGCCTCCCGCAACCCTCTACCAGCGAAAACAGAGCTCGGGAGAACTGCCTGCAGCCCTCACAACAGTGGTGGGATTCAGCCAGTTCGCACTTATTCGGGAGAACCGGTTGTTGGAAGAAATCTCCTTTTGGTTTTTTTCCCACTTTACAGGGCTAATCCTGTAAGGAAGGCAAGAAGGAAACATAATGGTGTTTCTAGCCTCATTTTTACTGCCCTGCTTATAGAAACCGCCTCTCCGCTTAACCCTTATTGCACTGCAAAAGCGCCCATAGACCTGAGTGACGTTGAGTGGGCTACGCCCACACAGTCACATGACCATTGAGCCACACCTCCCCAGCCGTTCATTAGGGCAGAGAACTGGTTGTTAAATTATTTGAATCCCACCACTGCCTCACAAGCTCCGTTTTTGGCTGCAACAGCCTCCTGCAACCGTAGGCCAGCAAAAGCAGAACTCAGGAGGAACGCCCGCAGCCCTCGCGAGCTCCATTTTCACTTGCAGAAGCACCACCAGCTAGTCATTCGCTGTTCCTAGGGCGGCTCCGCGGGCCAGATCTAATAACAGCCAGGTCAGATCCTGCCCACAGGCCTTGAGTTTGACACCCCTCTTCTTGATTGTGTCTGTAAGATTAGTTTTGGTTTGGTTTTATAATTTTATTTTATTATTATATTTTATTATTTATTTTGAATATTATAATAAACTCGTTCTTCTAGATAGCCCAGAGATTCACTGGACAGAATGATGCGATAATCCCAACAATCATATAGAACTTTGTTACATTTTTATTGCTACCTAATCTATTTTTTATTTTTTTTTTGCACTTGGGAAACAATTTGGAATTTTGGAACTAGGTTGCAAGCTGTCTCTCAGGATAGCTGACATGGAGAGATATGAGCCATCAAGGGGGCGGGGGGGAGGGAATGGAATACACCACAGGTTGAATGGAAGAGAAAGCTCTCTCTCTCTCTCTTTTTTTTTTTTGCTTTAAATACATTTTTATTTCTCATATATGCATTCACAATTATATGATCTCATAACATACAAATAATAATATGTATTTGTAACAATTTTTCTCCCCTACAATTGACAATATAATTGAAATTACTTTCTTACCATGCCATAAACCCATCTTATTTTACAACAATCCTACTTCTTCTTCCTTCCTTCCCTCCTTCCTTCCCTCCTTCCTTCTCTCCTTCTCTCCTTCCTTCCCTCCTTCCTTCCCTCCCTCCTTCTCTCCTTCATTCCCTCCTTCCTTCCCTCCTTTCTTCTCTCCTTCT